ACGGCAGTATTACTATGCACAGACTAAACTAACGTTATCTACGTTAGTAATAGTAAGACATACAAGTATTCTACATATTTGGATATATATATATATATATATATATATATAAATTAATAAGTTATAACCAAAAAAATGAAAAAAAGAGATAACTCTGAAAAATATATTCTGTAATTTTTGTGTTTGGAAAATTTTCACAAATTAGTAGGTTCAAGATCTGTGCACAGTAACTTATACTTCTTAAAGTTGTACTACATCAAGTGCTAAGAGCTTTGAATAAAAATAAATACAAAAGGCTATACGTTTCCATTAGACCAAAAGTAATGCTTATAAACTCAAACTAATTTGTTTATTTTTGATTATTAGAATAGAAAAAACATGGTTAGTTCAAGTTTTTAGTAACTTTTTATACTGCTCATAAGTATTCAAGTAAAGCACCCATAAAGATGAAAGAGTATTTCATGTAATAAACTTTAATACTTAACTGTTAACAGCAAAAAACACTTTGTAACTGACTTAGAAGCAAAGTAAAAAAAAAGGGAGAGAAATATTTAAAGACTTTAATATCATTAACAAAATTAACTACACGTAAACATATCATAAGAGGTCATAAAACAATTACTAACCAATCTATGATGGAGCCTTAAATTAAAACAGGCTCCTTAAGGGTGGCATGTAGGTCAACACAAATGTTTTCCACTAATCAATACTTTCTTTAGAAATTGAACATTGTAACTACTCAACTACAGTTAATAATAACTCATTGTAACTACTCATCTACAGTTAATAATAACTAGTGCTTTACAGCTGATAAAAAAACCTAACTAAATTAACATAATCATAACAACAATAATAACTATTAATTTCACCTTGACAATCAATACAACATCACAACTGTAATTACTTTTTGTCACTATTCCTCTCTCTCGTGTAAAGTGACAAAACCATATGAATAACTAATCCGAGTTTTCCAAGTTAACCCAAATATTATCATCTAATACTCTTCTTATGTAGCAAATTAATCAACTCCTGAAATGCAAGTGATCACAAAAATTAAGCAGTCATCACACAGTTCTTAAAACAACAAACAAAAAAAGTAGCAATCACATTTCTAACGTACTACAGGTGGCATTATCTTGATGGTGGTGTTTACATTCTTATGTAGGTGGGGTTATTCTTGTATAAGTGGAGCTTGCATTTTTAACTGACATTGAGTGTAATATTAATGTGTTTGTAATTTATATATATATATATATATATATATATATATATATATATA